TGAAATGCAATTGAAACTAAATTGATAACAAATGTATTAACCTTGTAATTAAACCAGAAAGCTATTAATTTATAATTAATTAATCCATGCTACGTATTTAATTTACCACTAATGTTAATCTTAATGCATTTATTTGTGTAATGTTAATACTAATATATTGTGATATATAAGTAATATCAAGGGAACTCAGAATAAACTTCGATTATATCAGATACATGGAATTTTTTTCTTGCCACATCATATTGCTGTGCTGTACGTACGTACAAACATACAGAATAAAAATTGGTACGTATGTTGAATGATTTTCTGCATGGATCTACATCACGTGACTAAAACCCGAGCACAGATTATAACAATGCGGACCACTCGCATTTCGCCATTTTCCCATTCCGCAAGGACTTAGATCATATGTGGTAACTAAATCTGCGAATATACAGGCGAGTTCTTCTGCTCTTTTCTTCTGGTAGCTGGACACTAAAAAAGATAATTAAATTATTGCTTATGTTAAAAAGATCGTTCTTTTATCTAATACAATTCGCAAAGAAATTTTTAATTTTAAGGCCTCATTTACTTTTTCGAAAAAGTACACTACGAGGGATTAAATGGGATTAAAGAAAATAGAAGTTCTAAACTGCCTATTCGTATATCGTTTGATATTGAATGAGAAAAAGACCTAAGATAAGTATAGAAGTACAAACCATAAAAAAGGCACACCGTAAGACTACCGTAAGCCAATCAAATTCACGAACGTTACGTAGATCATTCTAGAATATGGCGTCCTAATTCGGTAAATCGGTAGACTGAAATTTGCTCATATATTGGTGCTTCCTGTATATATAACGCGGTATAAATTTTTTCTTAGTGCATATTTTTTTTGCATTTGCGCCAATAAAAATTTTTTGAATTTATAACACTGACTGTGCATTAAAAAAAAAAGTCACACATATGCTATAAACTTGTAAATAAATGACACGATAGATTTAGGTTATAAATGATATTAAAAATTATTGGTTTTGAGCTACATATAAATTTTACATCAAAATACGAACACTACATATTCATGCATATATAATTTACCTTACCACTTCTGATTGGCTGATACTAATTATTCACTTAGCGGTATAATTGATATTAAAAATTATTGGTTCTTGAGCTATAAATTTTATATCAAAATATGAACACTACGTATAAGAGCATATTCATGCATATATAATTTACCTCACCACTTCGGATTGGCTGTATTTATTTTATTAATCATTTTTTCTTTATTCCTATAGTAAAGCGGTGGGGGAAATTATGGCACCCAATTCTTCTATATAAGTGTAAAACTAAAAATTTTCTTGTTTAACTTTTTAATTAATAAATTTTTAAACAATATGAATCGGCAAACTTCTAATTTTTTTCTAATTTTTTTTGTTTCAATTTTACTTACATTATCTATTACTATTGATGCTCACATTAATAAACACGTTTTTATTAACAAACATGCTAATAAACATGCTAACAAACATGCTAATAAACATGCTAACAAACATGCTAATAAACATGCTAATAAACATGTTATTAAACAAAAAACTAAATGCTCAACTTCAACACCAATTCCGGTATGTTCACCATCTCCGGTATGTTGCGAATGTCGTGGAAGTCCAGGGTGGAATGACATAATTCATTCAGTTCTAGCGGAACAATTAGTACATATTAGCAATGCTTCTACTCCGCGAGATTGTTGTAATTCATGTATTGCAGATCCGAATTGCGTTTCATGGTATTATAATATCATTTCCGCTCCGCAAATGGGGTGTCAGCATGAATTCAATATAAGTACTGCTGATGCTTGTACATATCCCGAACAAGCACCAAGTTCTTTTGGTGATGAAGGTGGTGTTATTCGTTGCTATGATGGCAGTCAATGCAATTAAATTATTTTAAAATTTAATTATTCGTAGTAAAATAGGATATATTAAAATTACAAATTAAGAGAATTTAAAAAATAGATCCACTTATCTGAATTTTAATTTTTACTTTTTTTTTTTACAATATATATAAATTTTTTTCTTTCCATTTAAAATTACGGATTTTATAA